GTTCTGCGCTAGTCCCTAAAAAGTTCGGTCCAGACCCGGTCCGAACTCGTTCCCCGTGGACCACTTAACATCCCTATTCACCAACAGCTCTAATCATGACCGGATACACGATGTTGCTATTTCACGGGGCACATTGCCCCTGCAACCAATTTCGTGTTTTCATTTTGTATCAAATTTTGCAAATTGTGTAGCGGTAGCACAAATTAGAATGTTTTTTTTATGTTAACGTTAATAAAAAAAATAAAAATAAAAAATTGTGTTGTACCATAAATTAGAATGTTTTTTTTTGTATTAATTAACGAGTAGAAAACTTATCGACATGACTGTCCTGGCATCACGTGCTGCGAAGAATAATAATATTACGTATTATAATACGTCGACTAATTACATGTAGATCTAAAAGCAGGGACTATGACCTCATTAGTAAAGTTCTCAGTGATCTTGGGCAAAATTAGATGCATTCCGACCCGGAATTTTAGGGTCCTCCTGTATATGTTCAATTTTAGCATTAATTATTATTTTTTTGAATAAAACTTTATTTCAAATAACTTAATATTATCAGTTACAGGTTTTTATTTTGCAACGCCCATGAATTTAACATTTTCTTTGTGATTAATGCTACTGTATAATTTCCCACTACGCTCAGGACCAGTGATGAGACTAACTGGAGTTAAGTGGGTTGTTTAATCGCCACATATCGTGACCTTTGAACAAATAATTTTATATAATTTTTTTTATATATCATGATACGTGACAGTTAATCACTACTCTAATTAAATAACTCTTAAATAACTTTCCTTCTGAAGATATCATTAAACTTGTTTGGTATATAATAAAGAGAGGATAAATTTTCCCATAATACTGTAATAAAGGTCGAAAGTCTTTTTACCTTCGAACTTAAATATCAAAATGTTAAATTACGTTTTAGATTATATTCCATATATAATTTTAGCATTATGTCTTTTATATCCGCTCAGAGCCCTCATATACGATAGATTTCAAACTTTTTTCACAAATAAAAAGGATATCGATGTAGCTTCTGCTGGAGGATTCATTCCATTTCTTCGTATGCTTCACGCAAAACAAGGAACAATAGTCACATCCAATCTTCCTTATGAAAATACAATTTCTGTGGTGGATTCCGAAATAATGAAATCAACTTTACATATCGGTGACAGACCTATTGGATTATTCAAATTTCTAGAACCACTTATTGGAGAAGATAATTATCAAATCTATAATGCCGAAAGAGATTCGAAATTTAAAAAAGTAATTAGACCTGCTCTTAGTCATGAAGGTAATTCATCTGTTAAAAAAAGTGTACTTTATTTCTCGTACATATACATTTATTATTATTATTATTATTATTTTAAAAAAAAATTGTATATAGTTTTGAGGGCAAAATATGAGGATATGCGAAGTGTTGGAGTTGATTTGATCAAGAGATGGGAAGAAAGATTGAATTCGCAAGACAATGTTATAAGATTGCAAGAACAAGGCCTCGAATATTCTTTACGAGTAACTTCAAAGGCTCTTATAGGGTAATCGAATAATCTATAATTATATAGAATATTACCTTTCATAATAACAAAATAAAATTTTTCTTTATAAAATCAATTGAAAAAAAGTTCCGACACATCTCGGAATTTTGACTTTAAAAAATTCAAGCAACATTATGATGTCACGTTGAGTGGTTTGTTTGATAAACAATTTGGTCTCCTTGATGCTGAACGTGAAAAAGACTTCCAACAATCACTCGATTATTTTCATACCACGTTGGATAAGATCATTAAGGATAGGAAAAATATGAACGTAGAACCCGCGCCTGTAAAAGATTTTCTTGATATTTTGTTAACAGAAAATGATCCAGACACTGGTCGCCCGTTTATTGATGAAAAGGTAAATTTGATTTTTATTTTTGTTTTTATTTTTATTTAATGGTAAAAACAACAATGGTTATTGTTGAAAACAGATAAGAAACATTATAGGCGGATATTTAACGGCTGGATATCACACTACTGGTGTCGCAATTCCTTTTACAATATTCGCTTTAACACAAAATCCAAGAGTCAAGGTAAAACTTCAAGAAGAAATTGATGAATTGCTGCAAGATCGGTTACCAACATTTGAAGGTATGGGTTACTATAATGAACTTTATAATTCTATTAAAGATAATAATAAAACTACCCATAATTTTATCATACTACAAAAGATTTATCCAAGATGGATTATCTAACACAAGTGATAAAAGAATCTCTTCGAGTTCATCCGCCAGGTACTTTTTGTGCCCGTTTAATCAAAACAGATTCTACATTTCCAAAGGCGGAAGAAAATTTTAAGGTGCAAGCTGACTCCACGGTCATATATTGTATTCCATTATATCACGAGAATCCATCATATTTTCCTAACCCCCAAAAATTTGACCCATCTCGATTTTCACGAGAAAATATAAATATTAAACCGAATACATATTGTCCGTTTGGATTTGGTGCTCGAATATGTAATTAAATATTGTAATTTGTTCGTTTCTACCTCGTGTGAAATTATGTTTAAAACTAACTTATTATTTCTGTATTTATGCTTTTTGTCTCTTAAAAAAAAAAAAAAACAAAGGTCCAGCAGAGAGACTCGCGATGATTGATATTAAAATGATGGTCTGTATGATTGTACAAAAGTTTGATTTCGAATTAGCCATGAAGTTGGAAGATGTGCAAATGGAAGAAAGGTTTGTTGTCATGGCCAAAAATGATATTTTAATCAAACTTAAACCAAGAAGAGGTATAAATACCTAAAAGAGAGGTACAATTAGGCTTTGTGTTATTTTCGTTATATATATATATCTATATATATATATTTTTCAGATGATTGATGAATACGAGTTTATTAAATCACGCCTGTTGTACTAACACCATAGTTGCTATATCTCAAAAACTGACAAATTAACTAATGTTAGATGTAAAAAGTAAAAATGTTCAGCATCCCCAAAACCTCACCCTAACTAAAATTTGAACTTATTACTTTGCTATATCTGGGTATCTAACCTAATTCTTAGGTGTATATTATTAAAAATATATACGTACATGGTATTAGCACCACTGGTGTGATTTAGTATAACTGGATGAACATTATGTATTAAATAGGCATAAAAAACTTATTTCTTTAGCCTTATCTACTGCAAAATAAAAAATTATATACAATCATCGCTTGTTACCATACATTATATAACCACTTTTAATCATCCCGAAAAGTAAATCGAAATTCTACCATCCCAACGTAGCGGAATCTGCATTCTGAACAGCACCTAGTGGATTATCCTTCCAAAACACAAAATGCCCTTGTAGCTGAGCAGTACTAATTTCTTTTCCCCTCACTTTCTCCACAAATTTTTCAGCCAATTCAGTTTCATTTTCATAAAACCTCAAAAACATTGTGCGTATCTGATAGTCACTCGCCACACCCAAGTGTTCTTTAAAATCAACTCTACCCGGACGTATCAGCGCGGGTTGAAGTCGATCCACATAATTTGTTGTCATGAATATTATGCGTTCTTCGGAGGCTGCAACACCGTCTAATGTGTTTAGCAAGCCGCTGAATGTTACCGACGAACCATAACTAATTAAGATAAAATTTTCAATCTTAATATTGTATATTATGTTTTAGGAGTGTGCCATTGATTGTTAATTACTATACATGGATGCATGATCTATGATTTGTTGTAAACTGTTATCACCAGTGTTGCTATTGGACATGTTTAATTGGACTAACTAAACATGGCTAATTATGCACATTAAAGGCTAATTGGAATTAAGGCTAGGGCTAATAAAAAATATTGGGCTTAAGGCCAGTAATAACAATGGTCATCACAAGCTGATCCATGTATCCATGATAAAAATTACGCAATAAATGGCGCTCCCTTCAATGATTATGGTAAGAGCTTTACCCTTGTGCTTCACGTTTTTGCATAAAAGCAGCATCAATATCTTCCAATAGCATTATGCTACGTTCCGGAGCATTACTTAGAAGGTGGTTTAATCGATCATCAGTTAAACCAACCTCACTTAAATTTAGAATACATATGTTATATTCTAATTCACCAGCGAGTGCCTGTATAAAACTACTTTTACCACTCCCTGGGGGACCGTATAACAAATATCCCCTGCGATATGGTATTCCTTATTTAAATTTTCAAAAAGATTAATAAGAATTTTCTTTTTTTGAAGATGAAATTACAAGTTATTATAATTACCTCGCTTGTTATACCAACTACCATTATTAATAAAATCTTTAACATCTTTGACAATACGTTCTTTAACACCTTTATCTAATATAACGGAATCCAACGATCTCCGTTTTCGTGGTAACCCAAAAGGTCTCCATTCCGGACCCCAGCTTGTGTAAATTACCGTTTTGCCTTCTTGTTGAGCAAGAGCCAGTTCCTGGGCTTCACGTAATAGATCCGTGAAAATATGACGGTCACGACTTATAGTTGTGAGAGTCACTGTTTCCCAGGGACTTCCTGTTGTTATATCTAGCATTTTATTATCTCGAACGCGTTCAACCTGTTTATTTATTTATTTATTTACATGAATTCCAAACGAACGGATTTGAAATGCATGCAAAGCTGAAATTTTGATTTAATCAATCTAGTTTACGTGAATTACAGCGTATTTGATCATGAAAGTTAATACAGCTTTGAATACATTTCAAATTCGTTCAAAGGAAGGCACTTCATTAATATTCCACAAAAATTCAAAAAAAAGAAAAAAAAAAAAAAAGACCGAAACAATAGATGAAGAATAAAGTCATCAGGTATAAATTATATTCAATAAAGAAAAAAAAAAACAATGACATACTTGTAACCATACGCCCTTCCATTTAAAAAAATGTTTTCCTGGACCTGGCACAAGTTTAAAAGCCGCGCTTACACTACCATTATCATGTTGCACAAAGGAGGTCTCTACGGCAATTTGATGCGCATTTCTTATCGACTGTTTGGACATCCAATGTAAAAACCAAGCATATGACTTATCTTTCGAAGGAATTTCCAATGAGACCAGTAATTGACGACGAGCTAGGGTCATCCCACGAGTTAGTCCCTGACGAAGGATTGCTAGGCCGGCACCTACTCCTAGTACACCAACACCAGCAGAAAAGTAGGGGTTTGAAGAAAAAAACGTGCCTAAAAGAGGAGAGTCGGACATGTTTATAGCAAAAGTTAGTGATCATCGATTTCTTTTAAAAATTTTCTGACCAATGAAAATCTTTACAATTATCTGATAAAAATTTTTTGATGCTGATATCGATAGATATGCTATCGTTATAAAGTTATATTTTATTTCTTATTACAAATTATATCGATATTATTTAAATAATCAATATGTATCGTCATCCTGGGACGTCATTTTGAGGCGCAAAATTTCTAGAGAGCTAAGAAAAAATTTTGAAAGTACAAATGATAATTTTATTAAAATTATTTCTTAACACTCGTATTCCGAAATAACGCCCGGGGCGTTATTTCGCGCAAATACAGTAATAAAGACAATAATATTTATTAAAAACTGAATAATTTCAATTTTGCCAAATTTCGAATTTATACCGGCAATCCTTTTTTTTGGTTTAATTCTAATGTCTTTAAGAAAAAACCAGATCATAAATGGACAATAACAGATAATGCGATTAACAATACCTTAACACACATCGCGCATTAACAGGTATATACGTACAGTACGTATACGTACGTACATATCGGTATAATGTTAACATTAAGTTTATTTGTAAGGTTTGCCCCAAAGTTTTTTTATGTTAAACAAGATTTTTTTACAACCTTAATATGGAAAGGTGGACAAAAAAATTTTTTTTTTGGAATTTACTGCTAGTTCTATTTATTAATCGAATTACAATATTATGAGTTCTTGAAAATCTGTAAGACGATGGGATGGTACACCTTTTCTATATACGGATCATTGGGTTAGTCTTTCGAAGAGTTCCAAAATGTATAGACATATTAGGAAAGTGTCACACTTAAATGTATATTAGCAATTACCCATTGTTTTTTTTTTCTGTTCCCCCTTTTTCCATTTCGTTTGTTATCTTGGTATTAAATCGCAAATTCCTATATAATCATTATTATTAGTGCGTGGAAACAAACGACCTTTATTTGTTTCTATCGTTGTTTGTTTCAGCATTTATTATTCTCCAATTGCCTTGTACAAAGCACCCCGGAAAAAGACGAAGCCATGCTTACCGTTACTCATATAACTTATGCTGTTTTAACTACTCTGCTTACCCATAATTTAATTATTCGTCTTACGGTAGCTTCTTTTTTCGACAAAATCCATTATTTTATCACATTTTCTCAGTAACTGCTTCGTCAGAAGAGAAATTCATTAATTTATCAAGTTAATCTATCATCTTTAATTTTCTATGTCTGATTCAGACTCTATACATTCTACTGATGTCCCACCACCCGTCCCACCAAAGGACGATATTCGTCCTGCGCTCCCACCAAAGGATCTTCCAAAAGCTTTCTCATTCACTGGCCCTTCTAATTCTAGTGATTTAAATGATGCAACTACTAAAAATCGCACCAAAAGATTATCTTTATTTCCTGCTTTAGGCTCACTATTTACACCTAGTACTACTAAAGCAAATACAAATGATGTTCCTAGAATATCTTCTCACTCTGAAAGTATGTTTTCAAAATTTTCATCTTGGTGGTCAAGTCTAAGTAAACTGAAACCAAGAAATACTGCAAATGTTGTGCCAATAACAATATCTTCAACATCATCTTCGGCCACATCGTTAATTGCACCTCAGACGACAGATGACGGAAATGATACTCAATCTCCAAAAGTTAAGAGATCTAAGAGCATAACCAATTTGTTTCGGAAAATTAGTTATAAAAAAAAGGAAAGAAATAATAAT